AAATTAAAAATTTAAATGGAGGCTCGCCAGGAAAATAAACTGTGATGTTGTCCATGTGTGGGTCGTGGTCAGTAGCATTGCCTACGGGCCAACAAAGATTGAGAAATACAGATTTAAAGGCTTTGGATCATTAATACATTCAGAAAATGGGATTTCTTATGTGCAGTTCCAGAATTAGATTGATTAAAACAACCTGCCTTCTGAAAAATGCCATGCAGGCTTGTGTGCTAAACAGGCACAAGTCTCTGTCTGGTACAAGAGCATGACATAGTGGTTGTCAGTTCCTTTGCTATGTATTAGTAGCCTGAAGCTGTTGCCTACATGTGTGTATGTGTGTACATATGCACATAAAATATGTGTGTATATATATGTACATAAATATATGCACAGAAGCACATGCACATATCCCCTGTACTAGGTGAGAGAAAACATATATGTTCTGAAGAAATCATCATTTCTGTGATGAATGAAAGTACAATCCTGTAAAATACATCTTTTCCTATGCATATTTGGGATTAGTGAAGGCTAAGTATTTTGCTATTCTTGTCCAGTCATCACATTTTCTATTTAATCTCTTTTTCAAGGGATGGATATTTTAACCAGTATTTTGTATTTCTATAACTTGGCATTTGTCTCTTTTGTAGGATGATTACAGAGTCTGCATGGATTTTAATATTATTCAGAAAGATTCTGTGCCTGTTTGTCCAGTTGATGCATCAGGCTGCTTCACAGCAGAAGTGACTGACTTTGCTGGACAGTATGTGAAGGTTAGTGGTCTTGGAGAAAGTAAATTACTACTTCATTCAGGATAAATTTTACATATGGTAGAAGTGTTCTTTCCTTTCCCTAAGTGGCTTTGTCTTCAATGTGTCTTTGGTAGCTGGAAAAAAAAAATGTGTTTTAACATTTGCAACAATGTTGCAATTGTTTATTACAATATCTGAAAAATAAAGAATTTGAAACCTAAGTAATACTGCATATCTAGTAGTGAAAGGGAAGAAGAATATCTCCCGTTTGCATCTACTGCAGAAACAGTCTCACTTTTCCCTTGTTTCTGATGGAAGTGTTATGTATGTGGTTTCTAGGCAAGTGTGCAGAGGCCTCCTTTACCTCTGGATGACTTTTGAATTCACAGGTGTCATCATTAAGTTTATACCAGCCAGTTAGTATAACATGACTTGTTAGAGGAGAGAAATCCAGTCATTTTCCCCACCTGTGGGATGTGTTGCAATGTGAATTTACTTGCCAATATATGAAAGAGAATCTATGTAAAAGGAACCCACAGGAACTCCAGACTGCTACAGATACGAATCCGTAGAAAGGAGTGCCTCTTTAATTTTATGTGCTAAGAAAAGAAATTGGTTTTAGTTGGTTTCCTGCTGGTACAGTTTGATAGCAAAGCATGTTCCTGTAAACACAATTTACTTGAAAAGACTTAAAAAAATCTGATATTGCATTTGAACTCAACTGTCATTGCTTCCTGCTATATGTTAAGGCAAGTAAGAGAACACAGGATGCTACATGTTTATCTTCTTGCTGGTAGGAATCTGAACTTAAGGCTCTTGGAAAATACTCTTATGATGCTGAATTCTTAGGTTATGAATATTGCTGTACCATAAATCTTTGTATATTTTTTTCTTAATGTCATGTTGACACTTGTTTGTTCAGTAGATTGTTGGATTGTATTCTATTATTAATGTACATCTTTCACTTCCAGCTTAGAATGTAAATCCTGTTTAGTTAGTAAGGTATTGTAAAAGATGCTTCAACTTCTGTAACTGTAGTCACATTAGAAGAATGTGTTGTAGCGAAGTCTAAATATTAGGTAAGAAGCACTACGTGGCTTTCTGCCACAAAATCAGAAGACTCACTAAAAGATTTAAGATGTTAAATAATATGAGTTCTGGCTTGTATTAGTGCTACAGAAAATCTGAATTTTGTACACAGTTGTGTGTATGTGGAAACAGAGTTAAGGGCAAAAAGGGACTGATGGTGTATGCCAGGATTTCGAGAGCAAATGACTTTCCAAATTTAGTGTTTTACAGTGTCTCTGCAGTAAATACATAAATTGTATAGAAGCTTTTTTTTTCTGTGTGTGTAAATACTGGATTATTTGTGGGGCCTTTCTTAATTTGGGTATTGGAGACAAATCCTGTAGTAGCTTACTGAAATAGTGAAATTTGTATTCCAAGGAAAATTTTTTTGTTCTGTCTTTTTAGGATGCAGATAAGAACATCATTAAATTACTGAAAGAGAAAGGCAGACTGGTTCACAGCAGTAGTTTTAAGCACAGCTATCCTTTCTGCTGGAGGTAAGAAGAGAAGTGCACATGGCTTTAAGATTGAGGGTTCTCACTGAGGTGTTCTTCAGGTTTGTCTCACTTTTTCCCCCTTAATTTTTTTAACAAGACTAAAAGTAACAGGAATCAAGAATACTGAATTAGGAGAGCTCCAGTTTTGGTTTAGTAATCAAGTAAATTAAAATTTTTTCCCATAAATCTGATGAACTCAAGTGTAGTGCTGAAAATTTTTTTCTATTATGATTTTACAGGTGTGTTTTTGTAGTTTGAACTCCTCATTCTTCAGTGTTGCATGTACTACTACTAACCACCTTTTGAAGATAGCTATAAGAAGTCTAAAAAAGCTTATTTTTTAAACAGCTAAGTACTGAGTGGTGAAAAAGGATATTTTGGTACCCTTTGAATTGTATCCAAATAAGTATGTCACAGAATGTCTTTAAATGTTTATGTTCAAACTTTCCATGTTTTGGATAAAATGGCTATATTATACCTGTTAAGATAGTTACTTCCTTTTAAACTTATAAAATTACTGCTTTCTTTGGAGTTTGGTAGAGCCCAGTTGCTTATAATGTGGAAACATCTGTATTGTTGATTTTAATCAACGTTAGCTTTTATCCACTGCAGTGGGTAGTGGAGTGTAATACATAAATATGTTTTTCTGCTTGGTCATTCCTGAATGGAGTTCACAACCAATGGCTACATCTCTGATCAGAAATAGCAGTTGTCATGTTCATAATATCTGTGGGGACTACTTAGAAATATTTGTTTTTGTCAACTAGAAATTCAGGATTAGCTCTGAAATGTCAGGTGGGTGGTTCAGCACAGTGGCCTGTCAAGATTCTTCCTTCTCAGATTGGGAATTTTGCAGAGGTTGAAGGAGGGACTCCATGTTCAAGTCTCCATGGGCCTTCAGTATAGTAAACTAACGTAAGATGTTTCAGTTGTGAGAAATACAGGCTAGACAAATTTAATCTAGAAGTGAAGCATGTTTTTATTAGTGTCCTCTCAGGTTTAAAATTTATGCAATTGCTATTGCAAAATTGAGGGGGGGATCACTGAACAACGTCAAATTTAAAAAAAGAAACCAGTAATCTTTTAGTAGGAATATTGTATTAAGTAATCTTTTAGTAGGAATATTGTATTAAACTGTTTTATTACACATGAAGAACACACTTCAGAAAAATAAAATATCTGATTACGTATCTGAAATGACTTGAACATTTAAAGTCATATCTGATGCATACAGCACCTGTACTGAAATAACTGTGATAAAAGCTTTTCTCTCCATCTGGCTTTAATGCGACTAGGTGAAGTGTGTATTTATCTTTGATCTATAGCAAGAATAACCTTTACTTGCTCTTGAATAGCATGATTGGTTTGTTTCTGACAGCTACCTAGAGCAAGAAGGGGAATTACTCTTTAAGTGTTATGTCCTTGATGATTTGGGACAGTGTTTGAAAAATGCCAGCCCCAAAACCAAGCAATGCTTGTGTTTTTCTTATGTAGCAATTCAAATGTACAGTCATGGCCTTCTGAGGCAAACCAGTAATGTAGAAATGCTGATTCTGTAGAACATACTTAATCCTGCCACTCTGTTGACATTTTTGTTGATTGATGATAAGTTGCAGGCAGCACCTAGCAGCAAATTATCTGGTGGGAAGAACAGAATAATGGATTCTACCTGAAAAGCTCATTTCACTGCCATCAGAAATCAAACCATAATTGGAATTTGCTAAAAGTAGAAGAGTAGTTCATAACTTTGAACATAGTTATAAGTTATTTTGATTAATATAAGAAAACTTTGAAACCAGACTTTTGTACTTAATGTACTACTTGTTCATGCTTTTTCCTGAAACCAGGCAGTTATTGAATCCTCAGTATGTTAAGATGTTTTCCCCTTTTTACATATCATCAAATTAGGGTCCTTCTCTAAATTTTCTTGTTACTGTGATATGTAGTAATTTTCTGTCTACCGAACTTTAAAGTCTGAGAGAGGAAAGCAGTAACAACTTGGTAAGTACACAGTAGATAGTTTTCAGTTAGAATTCCCCTTTGTTGGAATTGCTGAAGATGGAGATCATTGGTCAAAAACATTCTATGTAGATGTGAGATCTTGAGAGTCTGTATGGTCTAGGTAGCAATTTAACAACTCTGAAAGATAGCAAAGGTAACTAGCATGACAGCTGAAGTGTCCATTGCAGCTACTGTGTGCCATTCTATTAGGAAGCAATATTGGGAAGCTGTACCATTGGCAGATACAGAGCTTTGTCTTTTTCAAGCAAAGCCAAGAAGTATCTTTCATAGCACATAGTGAGTTATTTAGCATTTGTTTGCTATATTAGGAGAAAATGGAATGGAGTAAGATCACAATAATGTGTTTACAGCAGCTGTGCAGTCCAAAACAGGTATGAGAAGACTATGGGGAGTGTGTAGTGTCCACAGAGAATGGTCTTTCCAATCTCCGTCTTTTCAAGTGTAAAGATTGTATTTCAGAGAATGCTAATTTTGTGGCACTGCTAAGGAGCAGACAATTTGCTTAGGTGCTTTGATTCCTCTGATACAATTCTAAAGGATGTAATTATAAGGGGAACTAAACATCGTTCAGTTGAGACAGAGACAAATGTTTAGGCAGGAATTTTGTAAGCATCAGTCTCTGATTTAGGTCTGTCTGGGTGGTTTTTCCTTGTCTTGTATTGATGGAAAACACAACCCAGTAATAGTTATTTCTCATTTGGTTCTTACAGCAAAGAATTGAATCTGGTTTCCTCAACCCTCTCACCAGTCATGAGGGACAGAAATGTGTAAAGATGTTACTGGTTGGGCAGACACTACTTGGCAGTACAGCTAGAAGAAAGAAAATATTCAGGGAAACTGTGCCATTTGCCATTTCTTACTACCTTCATGTAGGTGGAAACAGTGCTCTGTGGGTGCTTTGGAATGGTTATCAAGTATTATAAAGTTACAGTGTTAGCTTGGAAGCCTGGGAAATGATCACGGCTTCATCTGCTTCTTTCTCTTTCATAGATCCTTTGTGTCTGAGGCTACTTTTGCATTAAAGCTTGTCTTGTCTTCCATCAACCCCATCTGTCAGCTGCTTACTCCTGATAGAGGCTGGGTACCAGTTTATTGTCTCAGCATTCTTTTTGCAGTATGTTACGGCCTTGTGAGAAACTGTCATTATCGGGTTTTATTCTTCTTGTTTCCAGTAACTCAGGATCTTACATGTGATGGCAATTCATCGTTCTTCAGCACGTCTGAAACAAGATGCTCATTGAGACTAAAATAGAATCCTGAGTACTTCTGGAGTACCTTGTAGCTTGCAGAATACTTTCTTTTTTACTGTGATTTTGCTGCTGTGTGAGGAGTTAACTGAACTGTTCCATTTTTTAGGTGTTAGGACTTAAATTTGAGAAGCAGAAGTTCCTAGCTTAGATAGATAGTAAAAATATAGCATAATGATTTCTGGCTTTTCAGATACAGAATGAGCTAAAGTGGAAGACTTGAATATGACTCATTTTAATACTTACTGAAGTTCATATTATTGTACTATGTAGGAACATAAATTTCAAATTTAAGTATTGTTTGAATGTTCTCATGATTTCTCTTGCTATGCAAATTACTTGAATTGCTGTGTTTGAAGGCTTTAAAAAATTTTTTTTTAGAATTTGATTTTAAAATAGTAGCTCACATAAGTGTAACAGTTTATGTAATTTTAAAAACAAAACAAAACGCAACCTTTGTAACTGTGATAGTATTTCAGGAACAACAATGAATTCAGTCTGTAGAAAGGGGACTGTAATGTAAAAAAATACATTTTAAAGAGTATTTTATAAATAATGTGGCACTGAAAATGTTTTTGTTTGTTTTGCTCCCTTCCCCTTACCTTCCCTCTACAGGTCAGATACTCCATTGATATACAAAGCTGTGCCAAGCTGGTTTGTAAGAGTGGAGCACATGGTGGAGAAGCTACTGGAAAATAATGCCCAATGCTACTGGTAATGTCTCCTGCATATTTTTTTTTTTTTTTTTCCCCTTTGCCTGGCGTTGGGTGTGTGTGGGCAGGTGGGTGTGTGTGTGCCAGCACTCTACAAAGCTCTGTTTCACTGTTAGTGTGCTAACTTAACTTCCTGCTTACATTCTGTCTTTTTGAGCCAATGTTACTGGAATGGGGCTGGTAACCAGTTTTAAATAATGCCTCAAACTGGAAGAACAATGGAATAGTCTTCCTGGAATAAACATATATAACCTGCTTAATTGCATATCAGCCCAGTGCTTGAATATGTTTGTGCACTATTCCTTTCTTGTGTCGAGAAGGCATTCTTTACTTGTGTAAAATTCCAATGAGAAACATATTTTAGGGTGAAAGTAAGGTTGAATACATACTAAGAATTTACAGTGAAATACATTACAGGATCATTAAAAGTATCCTCAAATCATGTTATACAATCCTAAGAAATTCAGCATGAGAGAAACTGCAAAGGAAAATCAACCTGTGGAAGCATGGAAGTGCACAGTTAAGGCTCCCAAAAGGGTCCACTAAAGAGAAGAATTTAGGCAGCTAACTCTGGGTATTTATTGTCCCGAAGTAAACTAATTTTTTTTTGGGGGGGGGGGGGGGGCACACCAAAAAAAAACAACACA